ATAGCTTTTCTTAAAAAAGCGCGTTAAACGTACATTTACTAAAGAATCTGTTAAAATTGATTGTGTCAAGACGTGATGACTTAAAAGTGCGATTAAAAATTGCCATTTTTAAAATTTTTTTTTTTATTGTGTTTAGAAGCTCTCGCGGGCCGCACTTCAGTAGTCGAAGGGCCGCATTTGGTCCGCGGGCCGCAGGTTGTGCACCCCTAACTTAATTGAAAGAAATTTATATTCTTAGTGATGGGCCATCATCCTAATTCAAACAGAAGTATACACTTTGTGACATTACTTTTTTATTCATTAAAATCAATTGGGATTTTTTTGCCACAAGTCGTGGAAAAGGTGCAGTTGATGGGGGTTGGATTTAGCTAAAAGCACGGTTCGTGATTTTTTTTAAAAAAATAAAAAAAGTCAGATTTTTTTGATTTAAATCAGATTTTTATTCAAATACACTGCTAGAACTTTCATTTATAATTAAAAAAATTTTGTAAATGTTTAATCAAAATTAAATTAATATTAAAACTATACTATAACAATATTTTAGAAGCTCTAACCTACTAATATAATTTTTTATTATAATACATAGCTTTGAATGCATAGCAACCATTCAGAAATAAATGCATAATTGAAATTTAAAGACTAGATGAAATAGAAAATTTAAAGAATACTTCAGGGGTCAGTCTAGGTTTTACTGAGAGGTACCTATTTTGTGAAAATGTAGACATAATTCGTGAAAATTAAAAATCATATTAAAAAAATCAACACTAATATGGTAAAAATATGGATTTATCGTTTCCTACAAGACACAAAAATAAAATGTTAAGAAAAAAGTAATTTGTCAAATTATTCTACCGTTTCTCCTAAAGTTGAATTTGTGAAAGTACAGTTAAACGGTAGTAAATTTGGCTTGGATAGACCCCTGTACTATGACTATTAAAACAAAGTTTCAATTAGTAAACTATAATTTTAATTTAAAATTGTGATTTCTTCTTTTTTTTTCTTGATTTTTAAAATGACAAAATAAATGTAACAGATTGTGTTTATAAATGTAGACATTCATCAAAAAATAAATAAATATTTAAATTATATATTAAAATAATTATTTTTAATTCTATATCAAAATAGATAAGCCAAAAAATTTTTTTTTTTAAATTCCACGTACTCATTGAATTTTTTTTCACAAAATTTCTTTATAGAAAATCAGATAATGTCAAAGATACTATAAACAATAGGTAGTTTTGCAAGCGTACAAGTTCAAGGAAAAAATAGGGTAGTTAATTTTGTTGCCCAAATAACTGAAATTGAGAAAGAAACACACAATGCGTGCATTGTTTTTTTTAACACCGTCTGGTAGAATAAAAACTTTTAAATGTAACTACAAAGATGTAGCATGGGTTCACATGTCAGATATTATAGCAGTGCTGCTAACTTTAACCAACCAAAGTGTTACTTTCGACAGTAATAATTCCCTTCAACTATTTGTCAAATTTGTAAGATGTCCCCTCTGTTACGATGCATTATTTAAACCTAATAAAAATGTGTTTACAATTTTAAAAGTCTTATAATAATTTATTTTATGCCAGCAGGTGGCCCAACGGTTAGCGTGCCTGACAGCGGGTTTGAATCCTGCTTTGGACTTCCCGCTCTCTATGTGCTGTCCTCTATTGTGTGTGATGTGGCCCACATTATGAAAGGGTATCTGTGGCAGTGTGGCGTGGGTAATGTTGCTCGCCTCCGTGACTTAAGATTCACAGGTGCCCACTGGGTAATGTTAAATGAGCAACACTTCCAGCATCTTCCCAGGTGAAGGACGTAAAAATTCAGTACCTGCCATTAGAAAAAAAAATTGTTTTACCTTCAAATGTGATAATTTTAAAAACAATTAAAAATAATGTTTAGGAGGGTCCAAATCAAAGAATTCAGCGTAAATAGCAGCGCATGTAAAAAATGTGGGATTTTATTTGTCCCCTCAGTTTCAAGTAATTTTAATTAACTTCAAATTTAATTATGAGGCAATTAAAGTAGCATATTCTTGCAGAATTTTTTCTTCTTAGATATATTTAATATATTTTTTAGGATAAAATACTTGTGTGATTTCCCCACTGTTACACTTGATATTCAACACTTGATTAATATTTTACGCCGAACTAATAGGTTTAAAAACCAAAGTGTACATATTTTAAAAAAATAAATAATGTTTTTATAACTACTTAAGACATTTTCAGTTTAATAAAATTTGTAGTATTAACTTCATGATACTTATTCATAGTTCTAAAGAAACAATATTTTACTTAGAAATTTTGATGTAAGGGAAGGGAACTTTCATTTTGCAAAAATATCAAAATATTTGCAATTAATAAATTAAAGCACTTTTTGTTGCATGCAATGTATCTCAAGACAAAAAAGTTTAAAAATAATATTTGCCTAAATAAATTAAAAAATGGGTACTGCCAGTAAAACAAAATTTTTCTTTTTACGGGTTTGGGAATTAAAACCTATAAATATAAATAAACTTATATTAGTCATTTTATTAAGAGGATTAAAATTTTGAAATGCAAGCAATTTGTGAAAAGATAAACTGAAATTGATGAAAATTGCGAATTGAAATGTTTATTACAATTCAGCACAAAATTTATATTTAAAAATTTATGTCTATCACTTATGTTTACGCTTCCGACAGTCTATTTCTGCTTTGCTTATCAAACTTTGTAAAATAATCATTTCTTCTAATAAATATTAAATTATTTTATAAAGATCATTTTAATTAGATTTAATTTGTTTATATTTTATTATTTTTCTCACGCCTAGCAGATGTAGTTGAAAGAATTTTTGCTTATCACGGCTTCGCCTGCGGTTTCGATTTATTGAAAAATATTTGTAACCGTATTGTTTTCTTAAAGTTAAACGAAAAGAACAACTACTACACATCAATATTTTTGTTTCTGTTTACTTCTGCTGCACAAAAGAAAATGATTCAAAATTATTAGAAATAACTCTATTTTTGCAATTAATATCTATTAGTGGTGCGAATTAAATTATGTAGGTGATGCTTGACTCTACAGATATCTTCCTTTTCTTTCCATACTTTTTTTAAAAAAAACTTTTTACTCTTAATTTTAGCTGGTGTACTTATGTTATTTATATTACTTCATTATCTTTGTTTGTAAAAATACTATCAAATTAAATAAGTTTTTAAACGCATTCGAAGGACGTTGGTTGAGATTTTTCATATTTTTTTCATCGTTAAATGCCGTAAAATATTTTAAAATGCTGTCAAATATATTGGGGTGGTCATTTCTAAGGCTATTTTAAGTTACTGTTGATATTCTAGCTCTCAGATTTTCTTATGCAAATTGTTTTTTTCTCCTCTCATTCTTCACTTTAATAATTATTCTTGTAAATGTTTAAATAATTATTAACACTACCACAGTTCATTGCTTCATAAATGTTTTCTGATAATATGTTTCACACATCTTATATTTTTAATGCAATATTAAGGGTGTTTGATTCCATATAGTTTGTATAAGATACGATATGTTCCTTGTAAAAGGAAGCAAATTTTTCTAACAATTTCATTTCCTTTCTTTATATAAAAAAAAAAGTCGAATCAGTACATTAATAAATCTATTTAATGATATAAGAAGTATGAAGAATATTTCATACTCTTAAGTGCTTAATTTTTTTTAAAACAAAAGCATAATGTTGCTTCAAGTTTATCCTTATATTATTGTTCTAGTCTTAAAAGTTATCAAATATTAACTCCATCCTATATCTATTTCTTTTCCACAAAGACGATAAAACATCTACATTTTTAATTCCCTCTCCGATTCATTGCTCATTAACTCCTACCTAACTGCAAATGACTCTTGATTTGAATTTGCATGTTATAAAATAATTCAATTAATAGTAAATGTATGTTTTGATTTGATTTTTTTATGAGAAGAAATCAATAAAAAAAATAGTTAAGATTTAACTTTGGTGAGGAATTTTGAAGTTTGGCAAATACTTTTAATATTTGACTAATTTACTGACTAATAACTTGAAGTCCTTAGCGAGTGTTGTTAAGCCATGAATGAAACTGAGCAAAATAAACTATTAATTATTGAAAATGATGGCAGATAATGAAAAATACTAAAATTGTATTTAATGCAGATAAGGAAAATAATGTTAAGTAAATTAGTTTTGATACTTAATTACACACATATTTAAGAGAGCAAAATATCATAAAAGTAATCAATTGATTATCTGCCAATATAGTTATACAATCCTAGTGAAAAAAAAGCAAAATTCCGAATAAGAGAAAGTAGAGGCCAACCCCGTTTCAGATAGCTGAACAGTAGAAAGTATTCTATATAATTTTACATGATCCTTGCTGCTGGCAGAATGAACTGACTGAGATAGCCTTGGCTAGTGTTAAAGAAGTAGAGGAAAAATTGAGAAAATATGTATTTTTTTGTGTTGTGGCTCCTTACCCAATTATATTTATGTTTAACCTTTTAAAACAAATATGTTTGTTTTTGTGAAAGTTAAATTTAAGGTTTAAATTATGCAATAATTTAATTTGAATAATATAAACCTATTATTTTTTTTGAATATGTTTTTCAAAAAATTTTTAGTAAAGGCATATGTTGATCTAATTTTTATTATTTTTTTACTGCATTAAAGCGTTGCACCAAATCGGTAATTGTTGCTTTGTTTTAACCATTTATCTGAGCTGAAGTAAATTTTGAGTATTTCTTTACTATAAAGTTTGTTGGTGGAAATGTATTATTAATTTTTTTCAAAAGTTGATCTCAGAACTTACATCTTTGAGCCCTGAAACTTTTTTTTAAATTTAATTTAAAATTGCTAATGCATATTGAGGTTGTTCCTTTTATTTCATTATGTGTAAAATTTTTTAAAAGTTTTAATAATGAAAGATAATTTAGGTTACTAGAAATATGCAATAATAAAAATCCTTGAATAAAGATACCAAAAATTTGATATATTTTGAGTTTTTTTGCTTGCAATTCTCATCTCATGAATTCACATCTCGTGAATTTTTTTTGAGATAGCGAAAGTATTTTTTAAAAGTTTAAAATATTTTATTAATCTTTGTATTACAAAAGAAGGTAATTAAATATTTTATTTTAATATAAATATTATTCAAAAAGACTTATAATAATAACTATCATTTTATTTTTTAGGTCTTTAATTTTCTTTTTGTAAAAATCTTTGGCATTACATTGTAGGCATGCTAACAAAGAATGGGTAGAAATAATTATATGAAAGATCTATAAATTGAAAAACAAGGCTTTCATAAAAAGGTAACTTTTAGTCTATTTTGCTGTTTTAGTTTTTTTTGGTTTGTGATTAATTCATTCACATTATGTCTCTCATTCAGATTATGTCAATTGTATTGCAAAAAATTACAGTGCTTCCAATCATTTGAAAAACAAAAGTTATTCTAGTTTTATTTGCAGCAATGTAAGTGAAAATTGAAAAGAAGATTCATCTTTTATGATTTATACTGTTACTTTATGTGTTGGGCAAATATCCAATTGAATAAATGTAGCTAATTACAATTAGTTGTAATCTTGGTAGCAGAATTTATTGAGCCAATTTGCAGCACAATCGTAATATTTTTCAGCTACATTAACACAGTCATGTAAAAATTGAAAGCTTAATCTAATATTTCTGCAGCAAGGTTTGCTAATATAATATAGATAAAAATTATATAAAAAATGCATTTTATTGAATTGTTTTTAATATATATAAAGTGTCTGATAAAAATTTTATGTAACACTTAAAAAAATGAAATAAATCTTTATGCTGCCTGTAATCAAGTTACCAAAGATTTGAAAATTAACAAGAAATTTTTTTTTTTATTAAATTTCCTTATTCTTTAATTTTTTATTTTCCAAAATCCAATTTAATTGAAGGAAATTATTGTGTATTTTTTAAAATCATCAATTTTCTAACAGTTTATCTATCTGTAAAATTTTTATAAGGTAACTGAAATATAGTCACTTAAACTTAAGAATTAATGATTTTTTTTGTTTCTCCTTTCTGTAATTCTTTTAAGTCTTTAAAATTTATCTGTTTTTTTTTTTTTTTTTTTTTTTTTTTTTTTTTTTTTTTTTTTTTTTGTGCTGCTAATGGAGACCAATTAGTTAGAATTTATAGTTTTATCCTTCATAATTTTACATTAAAATTTATGTTCACTGATTTAAATTACGATTATATAACAATGTAGCACTACGATGTGTGTTACCTTCACGATGGTTCTACATAAAAAACTGACACACAATTTCAAAAAGGAAGTTGTTGGAAGCTATTATTGTATAATTAAAGCAATATCATTCATAGAGGAGATTTTGTGGCATTGTCATTCACTATTAAAAAGTTAAAAACAAGATTTAAATTTTTTTTTTCTATAATCATTTTATTTTTATTAATGAAACCAAATTAATGATGAACAAATGAGAACAATAAAAACGAACAGATATATAAAAACCTAAATAGAAAATCATGAGGAATGGAGAAATGCGAACATGTAGAACACACAGTATCCTATAGCAAATGTTGCAACAAGAATGGCGGATATTAATACCACATTCTCTAGAAATCATATTTCAAATCGGATGAAGCAGGTATTATTATTTTTTAAAGCTGAAGAAAAGATGACAAAAATGTTTTGTAAAGATGTTAATAAATTAGAAACTTTCTTAATAATTCCTTTAACTTAGTAATTTCTTTCGGTTTTAGGACAAAGAAGTGAACTGTTAGAAAAAAAAGTGTGTTATCATACAAAATGCACACAAAGGTTTATGTCATAGAACAATTTCACTGCTTTAAAATTCATAATATAGAAGTTAAAAAAAAAAAATATTGTAATAATAAATAAATAGCTGAAATATACTTATAGAATTTATTGTTTTCTATAATTAAAAGACTAAAACAGATTAGAATATATTCTTTTGTGATAAAAGATATTGAAATTTTTAAAAATGATGCATTTGTTGTACTTTAAGACATGTCCTAAGGTATAACTTGCATTACTATCCCGAAGTACAGTGTGCAAAAACGCAAAAAAAAAACTACTCTGGATAACTTTTGATTTAATGATTGGATCTTCATGTTCTAGGACTTAATCGTAATGGCTCGAGGGGGTGACCTCAAATATGGTAATTAATAAGTGCAGATAATATTTTAAGCTATGAATCTGATACAAGAAAGTATTTTCTGTGAATAAACATACCTTTGAATTTGGATTTCTGACCCCCAAAATATAAAGGGTAGCCGTAATCTTGGAAATATGGTTCCAGTAGTTTGGACAGAAGAGTGCTTACAAAGTTAGGACCCTTTAATGTTGATTTTACTTTTTGCGTTTTTCACTGAATCTCAAGAGCTTTTTAAGCGAATCGAAAATTTTTTTGCACAGAATTATAAAATTTGTTTATCCAAAGATGATTCCAGGCAAAATAACTTTTATTTAATATTTTTTTGTTATTTTATTTAATAACGGTCAAAAGAACTTAAAATTGTATGGTGTTGAATTTGTTGCACTTTAAAGATCATAATTTTACATAGCAAAAGACGAAATTTGAGCAAAATCGGTTGAATAGTTCCTGAGAAATCGAATTTTAAATGTCTGACTTTTTTGAAATTTAATTTCCCAGGAACCAAATTACGAAATTTCCCCGGAAATTTGAGCAAAATCGGTTGAATAGTTCCTGAGAAATCGAATTTTAAATGTCTGACTTTTTTGAAATTTAATTTCCCAGGAACCAAATTACTCAAATTTTGTATTTTATCATGCAAAATTATATTCGTTTAAATGATGCAAAAATTTGTATGCTTTACAATTCAAAATTTTTTTGACCTTCATTAAATAAAATAATAAAATTCAATAAATATTTACTGAAAGTTTTTTTTGTATGGAATTATTTTTGAATAAACAAATTTTATAATTGTTAGCAAAATTTTTTCAATTCGCTTAAAAATTTTTTGAGATATTAACATTAATTAACATTAAGGATTGAGTAAAATTAACATTAAGGGGTCCAAACTTAAGAATGCTCTTCTGTCCAAACTATTGGGACCATATTTCCCAGATTGTGGCTACCCCCTATATTTTGGGGGTCAGAAATTTGAATCTGTTGAAAAAAGGTATATGTTTATTCAGAGAAAGTGCGTTTTTGTGTCTGATTTCGTAACTTAAAGTATTGTCTGCACTTATTAATTAGTATATTTGAGGTCACCCCCTAGAGCCATTGAGATTGAGACCTAAAATGTGAAGATCCGATCATTAGATCAAAAGTTATTCAGGGTGGATCGTTTTTTTTTTTGGCCACTGTACGCTGTGATTTAAAAAATCAGAATTGTGATCAATCTAAATGAGATTCATTTTGAGTTAAATAAACTATCATTATTTTCACACAACTAAAACATTCAAGATCTTCTTTTATAACCACTTAAAAATCAGTTGAATATTTTGTAAATTCATAATCAAAAAAAAGGAATAAGAACATGAAAAAGGAATTTTTTTTCAGAGATAACATTTTCATTTTCTCAAGACATTAATTCAAAATTTCTGATGTTAACTTTGGCTGTAATGTCATCTATTGGTTGAGGTCATTGTTAGAAATGAAAAAGCTTCTGATGTTAACTTAGGCTGTAAGGACATCTATTGGTTGAGGTCATTGTTAGAAATGAAAAAAATATTAATGTTGTTATAAGGATCTTTTTTTTTTCTTGTATACTCAGAAACTATTTTAATAGTTTTTAAGCTAATTGTTTACTTTATTTGCAATATGTATGTTATGTGTTAAGTTTTTGATCATTCAATATGGTAAAATACTTTTTTCCTTTTTATCAAATTTCCCTCTAGTCGTTTATATGCGAGGGCAGTACTTCTCTGCAAAGTTGTAGTACTTTTTTTTTTAACTCACTATTTTAACTCTTATTAGATATCAAATATATACAGTTACTAAAATTTTAATTCTAAGAAAAAATATTATTTCAAAAATTAATATTTTTATGTCATTGCAGGGTGAATTATATGTCAAATTTATATGTCATTGCAAGGTGAAATAATTACTTTTTTACTTATGTTTCTACAATTTAGGTATTGAAATGGCTGCTCCTGAGAAGCAAGCATCTGATAAAAAATTACTTGAAAATATACAAAATGATTTAAAAGCCCTTGCAGTTGAAGCTCGAAAGCGTTACCCACCCTTAAAAGAGGTTTGTTTTTATTTACCTACTCTCAATGCATTACTAAGATAATTAGATTTCATCTAGAGGAAAGTGGAGTAAGACCAGGTAGTTTAGATTCGAAGGCCTGGTAGAACTAAACTGTTTGACTTAAAAACTTAGATTTAATCAGGATATTCATTGTTTAGTTCTGTTCATTGTTAGCTATTGTTTAAGAAACATAAAATTATCTCAATGTTTTCCAAGTTTTTTATCTTTTACTGTCATGGCTAAAAGCTGGCACATCAGATAACCTCTGAGTTTAGTGGTGGGCTTATAAGTATTGAGTTTAGTTTTATTTTCTTATATTTAGGTTTTTATGGTCTGAAAAAAAAAGAAGTGTTGAAAGATATTCTAGGACTTTTTGGAGACTTTAAGTGCTTTAATTTAATTTTAATTTCAGGATTTCAACTTGTTGTAACATTTAAATAAATATCTCTTAATTTGGAGATGTTTTTTTTCCTTCAGTAGGTAGACAAGTTTCTGTACTGTAGAGACCATGATTTACACTTGTATCAATAAGTAGTGTAGCACAATTTATAAATTTGTAGATCCTTTAACAGTTTGGTTACTCACCACAGAATTATTGACAATATCAAAGTAAACAATAACAGTTTAACAAGTCAAAGTTCATAATTATGAGGCAGGTTGTTGGAAGTGTCAGAATTGCTCCTCAAGAAATTTTTCCTCAAAGCAAATTACCAAAACGCAAATGTTTTTTTTGTTTTTTTTTTGTAGCAAAATTTTAATATTCTATTGAAACAAATAACAAGTGCATAATTTTTTAAAAGATACTAGGATAGTAGAGGAAAAAATGCTCGTTACAAAAAATCATCTTTTCCAACAGTGGCGCTAAGTATAGAACAGTTCAATAAATTATTGTTTATCATAAATCCAATATATAAGATGAGGAATGATATAAAAATTTGTGCAGTCATGATAACAAATTCATGTAAGCAGAAGCTTGACAAGTTTAAAGTAAGATCTGCTTCCATTTTTTATCTCACTGTTTCTAAATAAGCCATCACTGTAAATTATGCTAGTAAAAAAATAAATAATAATCTGATGCAAGTGACTGGCAAAACTCATTGGGAATTCCTTACTTGTGGTGTGCTTTACTTTTGGATTATCTTCCATTACTACCTAAAACTTCCCCACGATTTTTGTTTTAAAATTGATGAAAATAGATGTGCGATGTAGAATTGATAAAAATAGATAAAAATTATGTGTTCCTATCGAGGAACACATAATACTTGAAAAATGTTTTCAAAAACTTTTTATTTTGTTCTTTTTTGTAAAATATATTTAATAATTAATAGTTTGAAATGCAATTGAGTAATTACAATCTTACTTAATTTCATAATTATAAAATAAAAAAAAAAGGCTTTTTGGATTTGATTTGTCAGGAATTGTGATCTGTTAGATTTACCTTGCTTTAAAATTGTGTAAGTGTACTGTTTCACTGATTGATATTTTTCTTCCTACTTTTTAAAAATTATTCTAGATATTTAATATATTTGTCTTGAATCCTTGGTTATTTTTTTTGGTTATTCTTTCATGATGACTTAAAAATTTAAATTTTACATTACTGCAAGCATCCTTGAGTTCTTACCGACAGGAGGACAAAACATTTCCTACTAAGGTTTACAGTCAAAAATATTTATTTTGCTATTATTATCAATACAAGAATACACAGTGTTGCTTTGGCAAAATCTGTCATTAAGTAGTATTGATATTAATTTATTGCTAGAAAAACTCTGCAAATAAGACGTCAAATATATATTTTAGTTAAAAATACAGTGATTTTAGATTCTTAATTTTATTATTTATTGTTTTTTGATACATTTTTAACTGGGAATTTTCTTCTAGGCTGCTGAATCAGGAATTGCTAAAGTACAAAACACTGTTGCAAAGTACAAGGATGTACGACTTGGTGAGTGTTTAGCCTTATTTTAGTTAATTGAACATTTTTGTTTAGTTGTTTTTATTCAAGTAGTGTGTGTTTGTGTAGGTGATAACCAAAGAGATTTCAATGTTGTTACTTATATAATGTTTCGATTTTGGAAATAGTATCATAATAAGCAAGTGATTCTATTAACTAATGAGTTTACATACAGAATTGTGAGAATAATTATTCTTTTTTTTTTCATTCAACATTAAATTGGTTCAAAGTTAAATAATGTTTAATCAATTAAAGCAGAGTGTGAAATTTCAATTCTAAAAATTTCAGTTTAGTTTAAATGTTTGCTTATCTCTATTTACATGGAAAATGTAAACAATTTTTATAATGTTAACAGATGTAGTGACCAAAACCATAAAAGAATGTAGATGCAAAAATAATTAGAAAATATTTATTAAAAAAGATGATAATTATAACTTAAAATGAGGTTGAAATGGTTTCAATGGTTCCAATTTGTCAGTTGTAGCCCTAGGGTCAAACTTTGTTGAGACTGGGTCAATAAGGCTTACCAAAGCTGCATTCTAATCTACATCCTGTAAATGGAAACTCTCATCCCTGTGAAAAATATAATTTATTTTGATTTGAAACCCCACATTTTACAAAGCAATACTTACTAGCCATCTCTAAATATGTATGTCAAAGTGAGTTGGCTAGTAGAAATTTCGCATCCTGAACTAAAAAATCGTATTTGCACAATGGAAATGTATAAAATTAGCAAAATAAGCATTAAGCTAATTGCACTGATTTGACTTTCTTGTTTTGTATATTTTTTGCCTAATTACAAATTGTTATAACAGTAAATATTATTTCATTATTTAAAAAATATTTTTAAGAAAAAAGTTATGTAAGTTGTGAACCACAATTAATTGAGAGAGAATAAGGATGGTAAGAACACTTTGGATGAAATTAATTAATTAATATAATAAAAGGAAATTTTTCTTAAAAATGGGTGGTGCATTCTGCTCTCAAGAATGGGGTGTTTTGATTTTTCTCCATGAATATTTCTAGATTTGGTCTATTTTGATGCCATTTAGCTTAAATGTGTTTACTTCTTTTTAGCAGAATCACAAGCTTGGTATCATTTCTTATTTTTGTCATATTAATTCTCATCACTTCTGCTTATAATTAGTTCAAAATCTGAATCTTGCTGTATAACTGTAGTATACAGTTAGCATTGATGGGCTGATAAACTGTAAACTATAAGAATGAAAAAGAAATTTTTTTTTTTTAAGGATGTAAAATAAGGGAAGTATGGTTTATTATTTGATTATCCATGTTAGATCTTCCAAAGATTTAATTAAATGAGCATTTTGCACTTAAAAGAAACATCACATTCTTGGTAGAAAACAAAACTTTATTCAGCTTAAAAGAAACATCACATTCTTGGTAGAAAACAAAACTTTATTAACTTTCCTGTCTGTGCGCGCTGTCGCACTGCAAAAGATGTTCTGCTATTCTGGTCATTTTGCTCTAGGGTTAAATTATTTTTATGTCAGCTTGATGATAATTTCATTCCCCACAAAAGAGTTTTTGCTGGAATAATTTTTTATAGATTTTGACTAATTATTCAGTTATGAACTCATTGATTGCTCTGTGCTTTACAACAGTTATAGGATCAATTGAATTAATGGTATATCATGTTCACTTGTCATACTTATCTGTTGGTTACATGCTTTTTAATTAATGTAAAAATTTATTGAATTCACTTATTATTTCATTTGTATATTGATAATTTATTAAATGGAAAATACTCTTTGAACTTTCGTAAGGAATTAAAAATTTTTTTGTGATTAAGGTTGTTGGCAATAAGTGTGAATTCTCTATTTTACATTTATAATATTGCACCATTATTTAATACAAAATATTTGAAAGTTTCTAATTAATATTGCCAATTATTTTATTTTGAACAAATAAATTATGTGATAAATGAAAAAAAGAAATTTGTTAGCAAACTGAATGTATATTTAGTCTAACTAAATATTTATGTAATTGAATAATTTAAACACCTTTTAATTGAATACTCATTTGAAGTGTCTTAATATAGACTGTTTCATGCATGACCTCAATTTTTTTTCTGACTTAAATCTTGACTATATGGTAATCTACTAAATAATTATCTGAATTATATATTTATTAATACTGAAATAAAAAATATTAATTTACCTTGCAGCTTTTATTTCTGAAAGCCCAGAAATATTAGAACCTTTTTTTCTGGGTTGTGATACAAAAAACACTAAAATCGTCCAGATGTCTTTAACATCTATTCAGAGATTGATTACATTAGAGGCTATATCATCGGTAAGTGTGACATTATCTACTTTTTCTTGTTAAATTGTTGAATTTGCATTTATAAATTTTTTTAAAAATATACTTAAATTGTAATGGATGAACACGAGATTGCAAATTTTTTTGTTCTCTTTTATAGTTTTATAATATACATTCTCAAAAATTGTTACAGATGTCTGTTTGGCTCAACAATGTTTAGATTCTTTCATTTTGTTAACTTTTAAAATGGGATATTTCAGGGTTTGCAAGTTTTTGATGGTTTTAAAACTAAGAATAATTATTTATGCACATCTGGCCATTAAGACCTATTGCAAAATTTTGACCCTTTTGCTAACGCGTCACAGTGCCAGAACAAGAATACCAAGCAATGCAAACTCATCAGCACAAGGACCAAACTCATGCTTGATCATGAACACCATGCTTGAGTTAATGGGCAAAGGAGGCCTATTAGCAAGTCAACACTCAAGTCCAAATTTGCAGGTTATGTCTACAGACAACCCATCCAAATCCAGAGGCTGCACAAAGTGCTGTTGGCCGACTCACCACAACCCAATGGACTGACCACAGACTGGAAGGCAACTGAACTGTCTTTATTTTCATGTTTTCAAATTATTACAGTCAAAGTTTCGAAAAAAAGTAAACCAAAAAAGATCAAAATTAACATCAATAATATTTAAAGAATCACAATTAAATTTAAAAAGCTAAGATCTAAATTTAAATTTCGAAAACTTACAAAAACTTCATTTGGCTGGGTGAGTCATCAGACATCAAGAATCAATCTCCATAGTTGATGTGGTTTCTTAATTTTTTAACAGCTCTCTCTTCACATGAATGGGACTAATTCAGTCACTGTGGCTTGTGTGATTGTTTAGTCATAGTATCAGCTGTAATATTGAATATATTTTTTATTACTCGAAGTATGATAAGTTGATTTTTCAATAATCCAAAGAACTTTTTGTGTTCTACTCATCAAATCGTATCTATAAGCAAAATTTCTGGTTATAAAAATTATATTTTGAGAAAGTTTTTGGTAGTCTTAAAATTATATCTTTTCAAGATTAAAAAAAACGAAGAAGGAAACATAATTTTTTTGAAACATATGCTTAAATTTTTCTCATTTTTCCAAGGTAAAGTTCAAAACTGTTTTAAATTCAAAGTCTGAAGTTTAAAATAAAATTAGCTATTTTTTCAAGATTCATAAGCATAAATAGCCATCTGTAAATGGGAAAAATAGTAAATTGAGTCAGGTTTTGTATTTTTTAATAAAAATTTGTATTTTTATTTTACTTAATTATGAAACTTTTCTTTAAACATTCAGTTTGGTTGTTTTTAGCAAGGAGCTGCAGGTTTGATTGTTCTTAGAATGAAAAATTGATTAAAACTCTAAATTAATATTTGTTTAAACATGTATGTTAATTTTCTTTTAGACTGCTGCTAGTAATATTATCACTTGTTTGTGGGCTCTAATGGAAAGTGGAACTGAGGAGCTGAAATTGTTACAGACTGTCACTCTTTTAGTAACTACTAATTCTATTGTGCAGGGATCAGTATTAGCAAAGGTAATGAATAAATATGTTGTCAAAACAACTTATGTGTTTTGATAAATCAGATAGTTTATGTCTTTCTATGTGAATAAATTTTATCGAATGAGAGAAACTTGAAACATTTATTTATTCGTATTTGGAAAAATAATTGTCTTTATTTTTATTACTATAACGTGGGGGGGGGGGAAAGAAAAAAAAATTCTGACCAAGTCATTGCATCATAGAATATTATTTAACTAATTTCTATTTAATTTGTGCGTTCTTTTCTTTTTGTTTAACACTGTAATTATAAAATATTTTATAATATGTCTCTTAGTTTACATATTGTTTTTTTGACTTTTTTACAAAGTCAAAAAAAAACAGACTTGCTATTTTAGTGTTATTTAAGCAAGGAAAATGGCAATTGATAAAATAGTTCATTTGCTCAGTACATAATCTTTGTACACAAAAGTTTCAACTCTAATGCAATTTGTGGGAGTAGAATAAGGTAGAAGACTTATGGACCATTGCTGGAAATTTTAATACATGTTTGTGCCTCTGTATCATCATAAATTTATTTATTGGTAAAAGTCTTATTATTTGTTATATTTTGTTAATTTATTTATTAATAATTATATTAAAAATTGTTAGTCCTGGATTTTTCCCCACACCATGTAGTATGCGTCTCATTATTAGTAAGTGTCCATTCTTCTTAATGCAATTCTTGAAATGCGGCAATCTATGTCTATGTGGTTAATGTAGAGACATTATTTTCAGTTTTTAGAATTTTTTGCCTTTTGCATGCATTAATTGATTATTGAAAATCATTAATTAATTGAATTTGTTAGTGCATCTGTGTGTATTTTTTTGCTTGGTTATTCTTTTCTTTCACTAAGTTGGTAATTTTTTTCCAGGCTATTGTATTGTGCTTTAGGTTACATTTCACGAAGAATAGTACTACAAATAACACAGCTTCAGCAACAGTGCGTCAATTAGTCTCAGCAGTTTTTGAAAGAATTGCTGCTGAAGATTTCATTCCAACTGAGAGTAATTTCTGTCAATTATTTAAATTATATTGTAATATTATTTTTAGTTCCTGGAATATTTTACATTATTTTCTATTGTAGGTCTTACTAATCAGTCTAATATTCAGTTGGAAGAGTTAAAAGCTGGTAGTCGTTTTGCTCCTAAATCATTGCCTTGTTATGCATCTGATGGGTTTATGCTATTTCAGGTATATTTGATTGCAAGCTAAATAATATTTCAACAGATTTCTGTAATATTTCTTAGTTGTTTTCTAAAAATAAATTGTCATAAATTGAGCAATAAATAATTCAACTTACATTTCTAACTTGTTTAAGTTTTATATACATAAAATCATTCCGATTATTTTATTTGTATGAAACACCTCAATTTTATATTGTCTTTAAAGTGCTTAACTGAAGAAGTAATTTTTCTGAAAAACTCTTTTGGCTTCTATTTTTAGGATGAAAAATAGAATCTTGTGTTATTTTTTAATTGTTTAGCATCTTTTAATTTTGAAAACTAAATTTTCTTTCAAAGAATCGTTATTCCAGTATTGTATTAGCTAAGTTTGATACTTAACTAATTTGCTTATGGCAATGTGAGTATTACTAATATAGTTTCTATTGCCTTTGGATTTTTTTTATTGGGTTTTTAGTTTTTGCATTTTTATAAAAGTATAAGTTTATCATTTCATTGATTAAGAACTATAAAGTGATAAATGAAATCCAAATGGCAATAAAGTTTACATTAATAATTCATTAGTCGGTTGATAAATAGAAAAGTAACCATGTCTTTGAAAAAAAAATCACTTTGAGAAATAATTATGAAGTTTACTAAATCATATTTCATCTATATTAATGTGAATGCAAAAGGTTTGTGTATTCATATTTCTAAGAATTTGATTTTATTCTTTTATAATAAGTCTTTTATATATCTATTCTGTTAATTATGGTTAAATGAAAAAAAACATAGTTAAATGAAATTTCACACCTGTAGACCTTTTTTCAAGTTATATAACCAATACGATTCAATATTCAGTGGAATATTAAGTTGAAAATAGAAATGCTTATCTGCTGTTTTAATGTAGTTAGTTCTTGTTCTTATTATTTAGTTTATAAGTTGAAAACTAATACTAATCATATATTTTGTTGCAGGATTTAGTTCAGCTGGTAAATGCTGATCAACCATTTTGGCTAATTGGATTAACAGAAATGACCAGAACATTTGGATTAGAACTACTTGAATCTATTCTGTCTTCATTCCCAGATGTCTTTTTTAAAGTAACCTATTTTTCATATTACTATTTCTTTTGACTACACTTCCCATACATTTCTAAATATACGCCTAGGGATTTCAGAAAATTTTAAAAAGATTAAAGGGGAGGATCTGTTTATAATCAGATCCATACCTTCCTCCAAATTTCCACAAGGACACTGCCAACAAAAATACTTCTCTGTTGGTCAAGGATTAGCAAGATTGTTAAATATCCCAAAGAAATACATTCCAAAACACGTAAATACATAAAATATCTGTTGAGAATAAAATACCAAAAATAGCAGCTGGAAAGGAAACAGATAAAAATGACAGTCGGTTAAAAGTATTTTTAATGAGGTTTTTTCTAATAAAATAGCAATCAGATAGAAAAAAGTGTTGGCTTATGAAGTCAGGTAACTCTTATTATTAGTGTTCAAACGATTTTGACGTTTTGCCTAATTGAACTGTTAATAATGTCAATCTGGACTGGTTAGTTGAAAAGCTTTGTGAAGGAAAGAGGGTGTGAACAATTGCAGGAAGAAAAGAACCAGTAGACCTATCAATAGGTATCTATTTCTGAACAAAAATGAACATTTAAGTAAGATGGCTGGGTAGTCTGAAAGAGATGTTTAAAATTACAAACAAGGATACCATATTTAATGTTTTTTTATATATTTATTTTTTTTTTTAACATTTGCTTATATACCAGTTTTTATTTTATTTTATAACCGTCGCTGAACAGCCATCCTAATTTTAGTTTTACAGCTACTAATGTTCAACTATGTAGCGTTGTAATTTTGAACCCAATCCAGGAGATAGGGGAACTCCTGGATCGAGTATTGGGAGATAATTGCCTTCACGGAGGACTTTTTGATGGAACATTTGCGTTACATGGAGAGGAAGACAGCAAGAACCTCCCACAATTAGCCTGACAACAAGGGGACTCTAACCCATGATCTGTCTACCACTGATGATATTTTATGCCTGCACTGTGTCTGTTGCCGGATACGGAATTTGTATTGCTAAGCCGTCACTGGGATTTGAGCCCGGTTCATCTCATCGGAAGGCGATTGCTCTATCACCTGAGCTATCAAGGCTCAGTTTTGAATATTTGAGAAAATCAGTTTTTAAATTTTGAGTAAATTTTCAAGGAAAAATTATACTAGTGGCTAATATATGGATGTGCTGATATTTGGAAATATTTATGGTGTTAGCCGTATAATTTAGTATTGCACATTTGTATGTGTGTTGTACTGCTGTTTGAAAGTTAAAAGTTGAGATCTAAAAAATCTTTTAAAAAATTTAAAGATATTTCATTAAGTTTTTAAGGATTTATTTTATTAATAAAGATTGTTTTTTTTTTAACCGAAAATATTATCTGTTGCTCATGTGTGTATACTTTGAAACTAGGATTATAAGAAACTAATTTTCAAAAAATCTGAATTGCATTGAAACAATATTTAAATGTTAATGCTGTATAAATAACCTACATAGTTATTACTATGGCTTACCTTTAGACCCAAAGTGTTTAGCTTAAGTCATTCATGTAGTGCGACTTTATTTTTGCATATCCTATCTGAGCAGTTAACTACTTTTTCCAAAATCTCAAAATATATACAATGTATATATTTGTTCAGAGAATGACAAATTTGTAAATCAATTAAAATTATATTGTCTTTTATAAAACAATAAATAAAAATTGATATTCAATCAGAATCTTATGTTGCACATCTAACTTGTTTTCTTTTCAAAATTTATTAAATATTTAAGGTTATGTATCATTTATGTTAAAATTATAATGTTTTTATGTCTTATTACAGTTCAAATTTTCTAAAGTTCTTTATCTAATCATTGTTGAAATTTTTGTTCTAAACATATTGTGTAAAATCTGTATGTTGCTAATTTATTACGTATTTGATAACTTTATTTATTTTGTGATACATTTTTCTCTAAATTTATTTTTATAATTATGTATTATGTTTTTGAATATAAACTAAAGTTTTTTTTTAATATGTACAAACTACTTGTTTAAATACATTTAATTGCTTAAACCTAAAATTAATTAAAATTTTAGTTTCCAGAGTTCAACTTTTTGCTGAAAGAAAGAGTGTGTCCTTTGATTATAAAGTTATTTTCACCCAACATAAAGTATCGTCAAGGGGTGCAAAATTCTGGTACTGCAGCAGCTACATCTGATAAACCATATTTTCCAATTTCTATGCGTTTGCTTCGCATTGTATCCATATTAATTCAAAGATACTATAAAATACTTGTAAGTTTCTTAGTATTAAATATATTATGTACTTTGATTACCATGTTACATTTTATTTTGTAATACTTGTATACTTGTTTTTATTGTGTATGCATATATATATATATGTATATATATATATGTATATATATTTATCTATTTCAATGTGCTCAGCAATCATTTCTGTCAAAGCTGAAGTTACTGTTTGGTAGTGCCACTTCACATTTTATAGTGATAATTTTACTTAAAAAATTTTTATGTTATTTTAAAAAGAAATTATTTGTGATATTTCAGCTGACTTATCAATTTTCTTACATTTTTAGGGTTCGAAAAGCCAAATTATAGGAAAATGTTGTAATGCTTTAAAACATTTTTATACTGGGTATTTTGAAATTTATAATGCCAGTGTCCTTTTTTGGAACTTGTATTATTAAATGCCATATACATTTTCATTTATAATATTTGTGAAGAGAAAATGTAGAGAAAAAAGTATTTATAGGCCTTAGAAAGAAATTTTTTACGCATTTAAAAATAATATTTGTTTGAAAATTTCAAATGAAAATTAATTTAAATTTACTTAAAAATTTAGTTAGTTTTTTTATCAAGTATTAAACTAATGAAATTTTAACTAATCATGTAAAAATCACAATTGATTCTGCTTATGTATGTATAGTGCGTCAAATGCACTAAAAATCATAGAGGGGAGGCATGATTCTCCAGCACTCAGAAAAATAGCATGTAGTATGCAAAATTATTATCGAGCTTTATATAAATATAAGTATATATATTTTTTCTTTATTAGTTGCTGAAGAAGAAAAGTCGTATGTTACATCGTTGCTTTTCTTCGATGCAGGTCCTAATTAAAAGCCTTGATTGTTACAATATAACTCTTCTTGTTTTGAAATTCCTTGTTTTATTTATCAGTCGAAAGAATAAATATGAATGGCATATTAATAGATGAATAAAATAGTAGAGAATTCAATTTTTAAGAAGGGACCTGCCTTTAGTATAAAGGGACCCAGGAATTCGAAACTACTGCATCCGAAATTCCTGTAATTTTCAAAGTGTAGTGGACTCACTGTACCACCTAATAAAAAAACTTTTACAGTTAGACCAAAAGACTGATTGCAAATGTTCAAAATTTGTTTTAGATTATTGCATACGTAGAATATCTATTAAATGCTTTATTTTTTTTCCATGCTGCATCCAATTTAATCAATGGTACAAAAATTAGGGTTCAATTTGTTTTTATATGTAGGAATTTAAAAGGTATTGACATAATTGTCAAATGATGATTTGCTTGATTACACTGTATGCATATATATTTTTTGCCTGAAAAATTTATAATTTGTTTTTATATCTTTGTAATACATTTAATTTTTTTTATAGGTGACTGAGTGTGAAATTTTTCTCTCTTTAGTTGTAAAGTTTTTAGATGTTGACAAACCGCCTTGGCAACGTGCATTAGCCCTAGAGGTACTGCATAAAATGTGCATACAACCGGAATTATTAAAGTAAGAGAAATTTTTGACGTGGTATAAATCTGTTACCTCTGAAATAGCTATAATTATTTTACTACGTTATGTTAAAGTTTTTTTTAAAAATAAATTAAATTGAAATAGCTTAAAATTTTCACAATTTTCTTTTTAAGATCTTTAATATGATCATGATGAATTTGAAGTAAATTGCTTGATAACTAATTTACTCATTTTCAAAAATTTTACCTATATTTGTACACATCCTTATTTTTTTTAAGAAAATAACAAGACTATACATTAATAGTCTTCCTACCTATCTGTCTAAAGTATTTGCTAATTTTTGAAAGTCTTCGAAAAAAAAATTTTAGAATTTTTTTTTATTATTTTTTCCCCCATAGAAAACTATTTTACTATAGTTTGTTTCAGGTTTATATTATTTGTACCCAGTTCTAAATGGTTGTGTGGTGCATCTACTGAAAATTACTGTTATCAAATAAAAAACACGGATTTATTTAGAAAAATTCTTTTTGACGTAATTTTGAGGATCAAGTTTAATAGTATTGATTAAATAATATCAAGTTAAATAGTATGAATTTTTCTTTCCTGTGGAAAAACTATTTACCAAAACAAAATTTTATTTGATTTGCTAAATTTATGATTTTATTGCATTTTGCGAAGTGGGGAATGTTTAGCGCGGGCCCTGTATATATATATATATATATATATGTATGTATGTTAAAAATATAAAAAAATATGGAAAACAATATTAAAAAATTGATGAAAAGAGAGGAAGAAAAAATATTAAAATAAAATATTTTTGAAAATTTTTTTATTTAAAAAAATTTATTTAAAAATAAATTACAAAATAATGAAAAGATATAATCTCGTTATCAGCTCACATGATTATATCCATAAAAAGGAGTTCTATGTATATATATATATTTTGCATTAAAATTATAATCAGATTGGTCTAGAACAATTAGATTGTATAGAGTTTTCTTATTATGAATTTTTAATTTTATAACAGTTGTTGAACAGCCTACCCAATTCTGGGTTTTCAACTACCTATGTCCAACTCTGTATCATTGTAATTTTAATTCCAACCCAGAAAGCAAGGGAGCTCCAGGATCTGTACCCCCAGAGGTATTGATTTGTTATGGAAACATGGAGGATTTTGTGACCCGACAGATTTAATGTATATCAGTCACCATTTACAACACGGGGAGACTTCGGGCGGCTGGGATTGAACCCACGATCTCTTCGATACGGGCCCAGTGCGCTACCAACCAGGCTATTCTGGACCTCTTATTATGAATTCAAAAATAATCTATAAAATTATGGTGCTAATGGCTAAACCAAAATGCCCTCTTTTAAATAAATAAACAGAAAACAATATTAATTTGTGCTAATTTTTTTTGCTTTTATGAAATCTTGATTTCTGATAAAGTAATTTTTTTCTTCCAATGTTTTTAAAAAAAAAGTTCAGTTTTTTTTTTCTTTTTATAATCCTATGTTTGTTTATCCATTAGTTCCTACTATCCCTTTTTAGAGATTGCACTTATAAGTATTTTTTTTCTTTCTTTTAAACATTTGTTAAAAAGCAAATACTAAATTAATAATTTTGACTTTTTTGTTTCAATTCTGTATTAAAATAAGTTTAATAACATCCAGATTTAGAAAAAATGCCTAGTTCGTAAATTAATATTTTTTTTAAACAATTTGAAATCAAAAAATATTTTAGTAAATATATTTGTTTGATCCAATGTTGTTTAGTTGTAATATTATTTATTCAAGCTATTAGATTTTGGCATTTTACTTTGCGTCTCAAAATTTCACAAATTTTCAAATAACACAAAAAGTTTTCAGCTAGGATTTATTTAAGTAACTTTCCTATTGATTTCAATATGAGCATTAATGTAAAGAAACCTTTAATAGCCTAGAGAAAATTAGATTCTGATTTTTTTTTAGTATAAACTATTCTGATTTTTTTTTAGTATAACTTAACATTAGAATTGATGTAACGATCATTTATGTAAAGATCGTTCCTAACAAAAACAGCTTCTAAATTTTTAAAATTTAGATATAACTTAATATTTCAAATTAATGCTTTTAAAATATTTCTTTCTTAAAAATATTGTTTCATATTAATAATTTTTTTAATTATGATTCTTACTGTCTGTTAGTTGTAAAATACTACACTAGATAAATCCTCTAGTTTTAGAAGCCAGAATAAAAATATCTAATTCTAATAGCTGCATTAGAAGGCAAGGTGTTTGATTATCTTGATATTCTTGATTTTCCTGATAAATATTTTGTTCTTTTTGGTCCAGATTTTTAGCCTTTTGTTCTGATTTTTGTAAATGTTCAAGTCATCCCAATTTCTTCAAATATAATTGTGGATTTTAAATAATTATTTTAAAAAGTCAAAAAATTTAGATTTTTTGTTAAATTTCTTTTCATTTTAATTAATAATGCATGCAAAAACCAAATAATTTGATTTGTTGAATTAGAGACTGTCCCCTATTTCTATAAATGGTTCATTATCCTGGGGGTCGATAAAATGATTTACAGCTTAAAACAGATTTAGTTAATTAATTTGCCTACTTTTTTTCATAATATTTATTATCCGACATTTTTTATTAGATGCATTTAATTTTATGATTGATAATGATTTATTGCTTGTTTAATATGGCAGGAAATAAAAATTAATTTAGCACTGTTTTCACATTAAAAACAACTTATTTATTTTTTGTTATGAATTTCAACCATTAATTAATTGTTCTAAAAAGTTTTGTTTTTCATCTAGGTCATTTTGCCAGTCATATGATATGAAACCTCATAGTACGAAAATATTTAAGGATATTGTTAATGCTTTGGGTTCCTATGTGCAATCGATGTTTATCATCCCCAGTACTGCCAATCCAGTTCTCCCTGGAAACATGTCTGTTGGCTGTGGAGCTCCTCCATCTGTTGTTCAAGGTCAATCTCCAGCTTTACTGGCAGGAATGCCTGTTGGTCCTGGCATTACACCACAAGCTGGATTTTTGTATCGTGGTATTTGGCTTCCTATAACTCCAGTTCCTTCTGGAACATGCAAACCAGTATTGTAAGCTCTCCTTACCATCTATTTCTCTTTATCAATGCACTTTATTTGCATACTGTTTTGAAATAATTTTATTGCTTGTGCCTTAACTTTGTAATGTGTAAATATTTTTTGATATCGATGAAAATCTTCAATTTAGAATAGTTATCAAATGTATTATTTTCTAGAAGAGTAATCACTTTTCAAAGTCAAAATAGTGATTTACTATACAATTTTGATGATGGGAAAATCAAAATTTAAAGTTTATTTCTTATAAGAAAATGAAAATGAAACTAACTGTTGCTTACTATGTCTTGTAAAACCAATTTAGTCCCTAAAATTTTCTTTTTCTCTCCACTTATGAAGTGGAAAAACAAAATGTAAAGCTGTGAGTGGTTGTATAAGAAGTTTTTTTAATTGTCAGCAAGCAAGATGAATTGAAGGAACAAAAATTTCATTTGTTTTTTTAAATAAATTTAAAAAAAGGCTTGGTATATTAATACTCAGATTATATATGTTTTGCAAAAGTATTGTTTAGTAATGTTGAAAAAATGCTCTTTAGTTTTAATCTCAAAGAAAGGCAAAATAATTGTCTTATTTCTTATTCTTTAATTAAAGAAAAAGATAAGATTTACAATTTGAAAAGTTGTGAAAAAAGTTTCTCTGTAATTGTTTTATTTGCTGCTGGCTAAAAGCCAGTAGGATTAGCTTTGTTTGTCACACTCAACAGAACCACTACAAAGGTCCTAGCCTTATAAGGTCTTTATCATCAACCATTTTTTCTTTTTACATGTTATTTTTTAAGAACTAATAATCTCTAGATCAAGTATTGGACAAAATTTGTCTTAATGGAGGACTTTTTGATGGAACTAACCCACATTTGCGTTACATGGAGAGGAAAACCACAAAAACCTCCCATAGACTGTCGGCAAGGGGACTCTAACTCATGATCCATCTGCCACTGAGGATTAACCTTAGATTTTTGATTGAAATTTCATCTTAGCCTTAGAAATACAACGTACTTTATCATAGTAATAAAAGAAATGATTGACTAATCAGTTCTAAAAAATAACAAGCAGTTTTGTATTTTAGAGAAACTTTTCAGTATATTTAGAAAATTAGATTTCAAATTTTTCTGCATTTCATTTAATAAAATAATTGCAAGAGTTTTTGCATGCAATATAACTGGTTTAATTTTTAAACTGTTTATCCTGTCACTACTGTAAGAGACCAGTTAAAGAACCTTATAATTTAGATGGGTAGTCACAAGAAAAAAAATTATAATTTAGATGGGTAAGTAGTCACAAGAAAAAAAATGCAAATTTCGTTTTTCAGAAAATAAAATTCATTTCATGGGGCATAATTATTACTGTAAGTAAAGTGAAATGAGTACAGAACTAGATTATGTTTTAAATATGTATTTTATCCTTTACCATAATTATTTGTTTCCTAGTTTCAGTTTGATCTTGGCTTGTGCAATGGGAGGAAAATTAAAATTTAGCCAAAAAGTAATGATTTTAAAGAAACAATATATACTTCTTTAAAGTATGATTTTAAAGAACAATAACAATCTTATTAAGATTTACTTAAAATAAACTCTTTTTTCAAAATATTTGAGAGCATATAATCTACCTCTTTCAATGATGGCTTCTAGTTAGTTATCAGTTTTCTCAATTTTTTCTCTCCTCATTGTCTTCTATACTCATCTATTACTGAATGTGCTTTCTATAAACACCTGAATTTTAAGTTTGACTGATAGCCATTTGCCACTGTAACTTTGTTGCCACTTTCTTTTTTTTGTGACTTCATAAAAATTTTAATTAGATATTCAGGTTCTAGATACGACTTGAAATACCTTGAACCTGCTCAAGTTTTATCCAACATCTCCAAGTTACAATATAATGATGAAAATCTATACTTCTAAAATTCAGAAACCTTCAAAATACAGATAATTTTTTTCTACATATGGCAAGAAAAATGAACTAAATCAGCTTTAAATTTGAGGCGACTTGTGGTAATTTGCATTTCTTAATTGTATCATTTAAAAAAATTAAATTTAAAAATTATTCGAAATATCCCTAGTAATATACAAACTGCTGGAAAAAAAACTATTCACAAAATCACATGAATTTACGATGAATTTGTTGTGCTTCGAGCATACCAAAAAGTGATTACTCAAATGCACTAGTCTTAATTCTTTTATACTATTAAAAGCATAGAAATTTTAAAAAGTCTATAGTAATTACACCCAAAAACATAGATACACCCATTTGAATTTATGGCAAAATCGTCACTAATGGTGTATGGCATTAAAGGCAATTGAAAAAAAAATCAAGCACTATTCAGATTTTACTCATTCACTTTCTCTCATTAAGTTTCTACCTTTCTTCACTCAACATTCCTTCTTTATGAGGCAACTTCTGGTTTCAACTTGACCTTGAAGTAACTATGATAAGAGTAATGGAATTTTCAATACCCAAGAGAATGTTTGTTTAGTTTTAGACATTGAATAACAGTTTTATGAATTGCATAGAGAGTGCTTAATCAAATTTGAGTGCTGCTGTAGTCCTGTCTCCTTTACAAAATTTATCATGGAATGAAAGGTGCTTTACAGTGAGATTTTTTTACATGTAATCTATCTTAGATAAATCTTGTTATGTAGAAAATTATTTTTACATATTTGTTTTGAATTCTTTAATGTTTTTTTGCATTTTAAGCTTTGACTATTAATTGTTTTTTAATTCTTAGTTTAGATCTGTTGGACAGGCTAGAAGCACCAGCTGTTCCTGAAGGTTATGGAATTTCCGTAGCATATGCTTGCCTTCTTGATGTTATAAATAGTATTGCAACTATTATTTGCCCTCAAAAACAATCTTCTGCTTTTTTAACAAGTGAAACTGGTACAACAGAGAGTGAGGAAACTATTCTATCACAGCCTGAAAAAACATCATTGACAGAACAAATTTCAGAACTCTCTGTATGTGATAAAATATGTGATATTGATTGTCCTCTTGAGCTTTCAGAACAAATAATAAATTCAACATGGTGTGGACTTTTAGCTGCATTCACGCTACTCATCGATGCCAGGTAGTGTTCTGTTTATTCAAATTCTTCAACACATAGATCTTTTTAAACTCAGTGTGTATTAAAATGTGTCAAATATTACTTTCATTTTCTTGTCAATACTTATCTCTGTTACTAAAATTTTTTTACTTTGTTTTTTTCTTAAATATTTTATCCTAATATTTAATTGTTGACAACATTTTTTATTTATTTATAAGATAATGAAATATGGGATAACTTAATACAAATAGGGTAAGAAAATAACAAAGTTTGGAATATTTGTGCTTATTAAATTGATCCTTTTATATAGTACATTGTTATTTGAGCACTCAATGGATAATGTAATACATATTTTGTTTGTGTGTCATAAAACCACTATCTTTTAAGTTTCCAAATTATTAAAACTGTTATGTGTTAGATTTATGATTAAAGTAAATCGAATGGTGCTCAATTTCAATGTTCAATTTCTCCTGCTTTTTATATGCTCTTAAATTAAACTACTTTTTTACTTTTTACTTTCATCTCTGGGTTTTAAAATAGAATGGGTTTAAAAAGCAAACAAATCAAAAGCTCATTATAGAAGAACCACATAATTGCTTGACAATTTGGTAATAGCAATTGGTAATTTTCATAAATATTTAGGGGAAGTGTGGAGATCATCATCAACAAATGATTCTGAGAATTAGTGAAAGGATAATAAAGAATGTTTGGTGGTCAGCAATTAGTGTTTCCACTATAATACAATAGGCCAGGAATGGGAGGAATTCCCCATTATTAATATTTACTTTACAATTTTTATATCATATTTTAGTCACTGTTGATGTGTTAAACTAAATATGCTACAATTTTTATTCATATATAATTTTTGTTATTTAAAGCATTCTTTTGTATCCATTATTACAAATTCAAATATTTATTTTCTTAAATATTTATTCGAATTCAAATATTTATTTATTCTATATATCTATTTTATAGCACTGATGAAACTGCTACTGAAAATATACTCAAGACCATGCAAATTTATAGCAGTATATGCGGTACCTTAAATATGACAATACCCAGAGATGCTTTTATAACAGCCATGTGCAAAGCTTCACTGCCTCCTCATTATACTCTGACGGTATTAAATACAAATTTACTCAAAACAGACAGTAAAGGTATTTTTTGATTCATTTGAATTTCTACTTATTTCTTAATTTAAAAAATTTTTTGATTATGTGCATACCCTGTGACAGAATTACAACGACGGGGAAAATTTTGGTTTTCCCTTCTGCATAATTTATTTGAAGGATGTTTTTTTTCTGCAGAATTTTTTTTAGAAGTCTTTCTTGTGCATCAGAGAGGAAAGAAAATAATCATGATTTTTTTTTCTCATTTGAGATTTAAAAAAAAAAAATTCGGTTGTGACTGGTTTCTGCATAGGAATTAATGCACAGATTTTGCGATTTTTAATTTATGTACGACTTTTAAACTACTATCGTTTAATTTATTGAAAAATTTTCATTTTTGTAACGATTTGCAAAATTCGAAATCGGAAATAATTATTGCATTTTTCCACCTGCAAAATGCGAGAACTTCACCTATAATATAAGAATGAAAAAAATATTACTTTTACTATTAAAATTTTTTATACATTTTTATTCTATACTTTCTTCTGTAAACAGAACGTTTCTGTTACTTTAAATTAGTAGTTGTTATAATTAAAACTATCTTAAATCAAAATATTAGTTCTAAGGAAGTTTGTTGCAGAAAGATCGAAAAAATTCTGCCATAGGGTGTGCATAAAGATATATATATATGCAGTACAAAGTCTCACATTCAGACGTCCATTTTCCGGAAGTGTCTTTCTTTTGGGCAATTTTTAATGAACGAAACTTTTTTCTTTTTAATTTTTTTTTATGTTATCGATCTGTTAATATAAATCAGCAAAAACTTTTTTTTTAAAAATTTGTTATTGCTTCTCTAATAGCTTGCTTCAATAAGCACACTAAAAAAACTGTTGAAAACACTAGAACAGTTAAAGAAAAACAAACTTTGGAGTGAAGAATAAACTATGAATATTAATGAGACGGAATATTAATAATGTTTGAAAAGAACTTTGACAGACAAGATTTATTTCACTTTAAATTATAGATTTTATCTTATATTTTAGGTTTATTTTTATCTATGAGGATCATGCAATTAGTCTAACACTACAATGAAGGTTTTCCAACAAGGAGTTTGAGGAAATCAATATAAATTATTAGAAACAAAAAAATGTATTTTCCCCACTCTATGCTGTAGAAATTATTAATTGGTACTTTGAATCCAAACGTTGAGAAATCAAGAAATCAAAGTGTCATTCAAAAGTAGTAGTCATTCAATCAAAATGACTTTACCAAATAAATATATTCATATTCAGCACATTTAAATCTATGGTAATAGTGTTGTTTCATACTATGATTTTATGTTTCATTTGGTGCTATTTCTTTGTTTATTCAAGAAAACTATTAGATTTTTTCTAAAATTGTTAAGTTTAAAGTTAATAGGTTTCTTAAAGTTTTTTTTATATAATTAATTACAACTCATACACTGTCTTTTAAGACACTTAAATTTTTAAAGTCCTTGATAAAATGAAATTTTTTTAAAAATGTATTTTTCTTAAAATTTCAAATAAATAATAAATAAATTAGAATGCTTTTTTTTAAAACAATAATTTGTTGTTTCAAGTGTCGCCTCTGATTTTAGAATGAATATTTTTTTTCAAAGTTAAAATAGTTTGCAAATAACTTATTAAGATATGTTTCTTAGGAGATAGAATAAGAGATTGTAGTGATGCAAGTCATCCTGGCCTTAATTGTAATAATCTTGCTGGAGCATCTCAATTACCATTGGGACTTTATCTGGGTGGATGTGATGGTTATGAAATGCGACAACAGGTTGTTGCTGTTGGAACTCCTCTTCCTACAGCTTCTTTACCTCTGGGGGCACAGCAAGGTCCAGTAATGGTTAGTTCTTACAATTCACTTTGGTTGAATTTTTAAATTTTTAATTTATTTTTATTAAGTGGAATTAAATCAATAATATGAATTTAAAATAACATTAAAAGCATTATATATTACAGTTTTTGTAAAAATGTTATTTATTGATAAATAGATTATAATATTTTAGTTAAGTAACAATAAATAAAAAAGATTTTACTACCAGTTCATGACAAGGTTTTACTACCAGTTTTTCTTCTTTTCTGTCTTACTTTCAGTTCTGGTAATATCTTTTAGTTCCTGGTTGCTTGGACCTGCGACTAAATTTTCTTAATTTTTACCCCTGTTGTGTATATATACATATATATGCATATATATACATGTACTTATAAATTATCATTTAAAAAATTTAAACCTATATATATATATATATATATATATATGCAGTTAATTCTCAATTATCCGTGGATAGAATAATACATAATACATAAAAGTTTTGAGAAGAACATGCTAGCAAACATTCATGCTCATAGCCTAGGTGCTCACAAGTAATCTAATAATGGGTCTACATGTAAACATAGCAGCTTCAAGTGCAATATCTAAGTAGAAACGAGCATTGAAAAGGTGAAAATGGTGAACCTGAGTTAAAACCTGAGTTATGATTTACTACAAATGCAGAATGCAGTTCAAATTTTAATGAATGGATTGCGCACCCATCAAAGCAGTTTCTTCTCTTGGATCGTATTGTTATTCAAAGCAATGATACTGATAGCATGCAAAGAAATTTAGTTTTTTTCTGTCTTGCCTTCATATTATGAATGGGAAAGATTTATCCTCAGTCATTTATTTAGTCAACATGTAGCACATTCTTGGGACTCTTATCAGCTATAAAATTGATAACTAATGAATGAGGGTGGTCCCCAAACAGCAATTTTACCCCTAAAAGAAAAAGAATGAAGCAGGGCTTTGAATAATTATTGATTGATACTTTGATATGATTGATACTTTGAATTGAATATAGGCCATATGCATGATTTCAAAATTGTAGTCAGTTGTTTATTTTTTAGTTTTGTTATTAATAAGAGTTTCTAAAAGTCGTGTCTGTGCAGTAACTCTTTATAATAACTGACTCTCGTGTTTCGAGATTCTATTATGCGTTCTTTTTTCAGTACTCCAAACTGAACTCTCGAGTTAGAAGTCTACTTATGTGTGTTTTATTTTAGCCTCCTACTCTCCAACATCAGGAAACAAAAAGAGTTAGCATCCTTTTTCATGCAGAAGTAAAAAAAAAAATTTATAAGAAGATCATGTGAAGAAAACTGCTAATAATAGATATTGAAATTTATCATTTGTATTAAAAAAAATTGTTGCATGTCTTTTTTAAGCGTTTTGCGGATTATCGGCGAATTATATATATATATGTTCACTTCGTTGGCCACTCTCAATTGCTTGGATAATCAGAAATTTACTATATATATATATATGCATTATAATATGTATGTATTTACGTATATATTTATATTATATTTAAAAGATTCTCTGATTATGTACTATAAATTAACATTATTAACTCAGTTACCTTACTTACCATAAATCATTTTAAATTATCAATTATCATCAGTAGTTTAGTTCAATCTTACCTCAATAATAGAAGAAATAAATGCTTGCTATTAATAATAGCAGAAAGAACTATTGAATATTGAAATTAAGGTACTATATCCGAAATTTCTATTTTGCAGAGAATCTTCAAATTTTGAGTTTTGATCGAATTTGAATCTATATAACACTTAACAATATTTTTAATGCATCACACTATAAATCTCAAAATTCAGGGTACTACCTTTTTGCTTTTCATTACAGTAAACCAATTTTATCCCCTGTTATTCTATGGAGAAACTTTGCTTATCAAGGAACTTTTTGATTGTATTTGTTTAAATAGAATAACAGCTGCAGTTTTTGAGAGCATTATGTCACCACACATCTTAATATTTAAGAAAGGTTTTTAGGTAATTGTTCTAGCTGTGTGTGTGTTAAGCAAAAAAAGAAAAAAAAAAACAGTATTTTATGAGGAACATGATTTTTTTTAAAAAAAACTTTCATTATCCATGTCTTAATTTATATTTTCTTTTCATTTATGGAAAAATTATTATTAAACTATTAGTTTTTTTTTTTTAGTTGACTGCAAAGAATTTGCAATGTATGCGAGCTGTGTTAAGCTTAGCTCATTGTCATGGTTCAGTTTTAGGTACAGCATGGCATCTTGTCTTAACTACTCTTCAAGTAAGTTTATTTTATTTATGTCTAAATACTTGAAACTTATGAAGATATATTTCATATTTGTAATATTGAAAGTTCAAGCAAATTTTTATTTAATATTTTCCTTATTGTCAAATGCTTGTTTAGGTTTTCGAGCATTAAAATTTGAGTTGGTAAAATAGATTTATATCTATACAAAATATAAATATTAATAGATTTTGTACAGCGCACGAAATAAAAATAACTAAATAAGTTTTGATAGATTGGTGTTTGTGATACTAGCATACAATTTTAATAATTTGACTGGTTTACTTTAAATATGCCAATTAGTTTTAGTAGGCGATATTTCAAGTTATTAAATCTGACACAAAAACGTACTTTCCCTGAATGAACATGCCTTTACATCAACAGATTAGTTTCTTTATCCTCAAAATCATCACAATTTTGAAAACATGGCCACAATAGTTTAGTTGTAAGAGTGGTTGGAAGTTTTGTCCACCCTGCAATAATTTCAGTTTTTGATTTCGCTGTCTTGGGTGATATTTTTGACAACGTTTTGCACCAAATCGTTAAACTTGTTATTTCTAAAGATAATTTTGCTTGAATAAATATTTTTATATTTATTCATTATTTATTAATATTTGTTAAACACTTTTGAATTGTGAGGTACATAATTTTCAAATAATTTTACATAATGTTATTTTAAACGACAAAATAAGATATTTTAATGAAATCAGGCAAATTGTTTCTAAATAATATTCCTCAATAACTGTATGGCTATTTTCAATCAAATTTTGTATTTTGATACATAATTATACAAAATTTTTAATGATTTAAAGACATGTATTTCTTATGATTCAGTTTTCAATAAATAATAATTTAAAAAATAAAAAAAAAATATTTTTTGCATTAAATTATTTTTTGATAAACAAGTTTTATAATTGTGTATAAAACCTTTTTTTATACTTAAACTGCTTTAGAGTTATGACTAAGCACACAAAATGTAAAATAATTATTGAGGGATGTTCAAATCGAAGGTGCAATAAGTAATTTTATTAGTTCGAAATTGAGTTATACTTATTTTTACTCTTTAAATACATTCAAAATTCAATGTAATAAATCAAGCTGAAATTTTTTTATTTTGAGTTATGGTGCTCCTGTCATCGATATTTGCATAATATAGATTTCTTAAACTAACCATCTTAGGAATTTCTTTTGCTTTAGCTATTTTTTTTTCTTTAGAATTTCTGTTTCTGCTGTGTACTTTCTTAAAAAATAATTTGTCTCTATAGTAATGATATTCTGCCAAATACATTTTGTAATTAACTATGTATAAACACATAGTCTATGCATCTTAACAAGTAAGAAATACTTTTAACCCTATTATATTTGTACTATTTTGTAAAAGCTTGTGTTTCTTTAATGAATATTTAAATTAGTTTTAGAATTCATTATTTTCTTCCGAAGGAATTGTAGTTTAACAAAAAGCTATTTTTTTAAAGAAAGGTTAAAAAGTTAAAGCTGAAACTTGTATTTGTTATATTTATGTATATTTTTTTCGTGAAAGAAAATAAATTGGAATAGGAAGCTGATGCATGACTGCATACTTCAACAGTTCATAATAATAATCACAGTTAATAATATTATTCCAAATATTATCTTATTTTTAAGTTGAAAATATATGGCTATCTTGGTAAGTCTTTTTATTGGTCTCCTTTATATTCATATTTATTTTAAAACTATTACTATTGTAGTTAAACTTTAAGTGATCTTAAGTTTTAGAGAATAGGAAATAATTTGTGTTTCTTGCATAATTTTTGTAGTAGAACTTCTAATTTTCTATTTTATGTTTATATAAATTTTATACTTTCAAAAGTAATAAACTTATTTGTCTCTAAGCAAATAGAATGTAGTTTTAAATATCATATGAAAATGTTTTCACAAAATTTTATTTTTACATTTTTTTTCATATATTAGTTTTTTTTCCATTAGCATCTAGTATGGATTCTTGGCTTGAAACCCTCTACTGGTGGAAGTCTAAAAGCAAGTCGATCTAATGATTCTGCAAATGCTGTTATAACAACTGCTGTGATGGCAGATTTACCTGTTTTATCTGCAATGTTATCACGTTTATTTGAAAGTTCTCAGTAAGTAAAATAATTTCTTTCTTTCATTGACAATTGTGTAAAACAATTTTAAGATACATATCTTGTTTTTCCTGAATTTCAGTCAAAGAAATATTATTGTTAGTATTTGTGTGGGAAAGCTGAGAAGCAAAAATTTTTTTATTAGATTTGTTGAGAAATATAGCATCTAATTTTTTCTTCTATGATCAAGCTTTTCAATAACAGTTTAGCAAATTTGTGATTAGACATATATTATTATTTAAATTATAAATATTTTTTGTTTATGAAAACTAAGAAATTTGGTATTATAAAGTGTAATGTTATAGTTTTTCAGTTTTTAAAAATGTTTTTTTGAATATTAGTAATATAATAATGAAAAATGTGAAAAGTCTAAAGTGTATTTAATATGTATTCTATAAGTTTTATATTCTAAAATTGATTAGTGCTAAGTTAAATTACATTTGAAGTTATTCAAAATAGTCATGCATCCAATATGTTCTTTATCAGCATATTTTACTTCCTTGAACCCTCTTATCACCATTTATCACACCCATATTTCATATTTGAGTTTTAAAAAAAAAATATTTCAGAAAAATAGTATCGTATAAGAATCTTTGAATTTCACTGGACAATGCATAAATAACTGGGTTATTGATTATATTATTATGCTTAGCTTATAATCTTCAATAAAGTAATCTGAAAATCGCATTATTATTATAGTAATTAATCTTTTTAAAGCTTAATTTTGAAACATTTTGACACTTTGCCCAATAACAGAAAAAAAATTTGTTTCATATTCACTATGGCGTCAAAAAAATGTGTTGGGAAAAGATTATATAATTAATTTAAGTTGAATGACGTCTTTGAGTTGCAAATGTTCTTGGTAGTTTTGGAAGCTTTTGGATTTCAAGAGTTTTTATATTCACCTTTGGCTTACAGCTGGTACAACAAATGGACAGCAATAACAGACTTTACAAACCATGTTAAGCGTCCTTGTAGTCTCATGTCCATGTTGTATGTAATTTTGGCTTATTGCTAACAACAGGAAACTTTCTGAATTTTAACAATATTTATTTTTTAAATTAATTTCAATCTGAAATTTATGTTTGAATAATTTGCAATTTTGTATATTTTGATAATTTTTCATTCAAAATTGGGTTAAAGATATTACATTTTATATGTTATTAGTGCAATATAATGAAATACATTTTTATTGGAGGTTTTTTACACATCAAAAAGGTTTACAAAAACTTAATATTTTTGAGAATTTCACAATGTTAGTCCAAATAAGTTATTAAGAAAAATTTTTTCTTCAAAAGTTTAAATTTTAATAGAATTGTTTATAAAATTATTTTGAATTTTTTAAATTCTTACTATTTGCCCTTCTACTGCTTTAATACTTAAATCTTATTTTATTTAAGGATTGAGTGTTATTCCCTTAAAAACTTAACATGTGCCTCTTGTGTTTGTTTGGTTATGTCTTTGTCTGAATGAAATAAAGAGCAATTTGCCAAGTTTTAATTTGTCTATAACTGTAATTTTCCTTTGAATTGCAAAAATTTATATCAACTAAGTGTTGTTTTTCATTTAACCTATAACATTTAAAATGCATCTGAGCTAAATGTGAGATACAGTGCTTTTCTTTTTTAAACTTCAAATGCACACCCATAAATAATCTTTAAATATTAAAAACGTTTTCATTTAATTTCGAGAAATCTTAAACTTATAACTTCATTAAAGCTTCAAAATAGCAGTCAGAAAATTTTTACATCCTGATGTATTCCTTAAAATTTTGATATTTTCTACTGATTGCTAGTATATCTTAGCTACTAGGTTTTCAATGGGGATGTATCTTATCTGTTAAGAGTTAAACACATGTTTAATTATTATGAAGCTATTTTTCAAATCATTTTAACCTTATTAACTGTGTCTATATTTGAAATCTCAGTCACAGTTTATAATTAGACTTATGTATTTTTAAAATATTTTGATAATGTATTGTATTATTGAATATTGTTAAAAATCTCTTAAAGCAGAGTGATAGTATTTTTTTATATCCACATTATTTTATAATTTTATATTTTGATTGTAGAATTTTGCAATGTTATGAAGCATGTTGTGTCATTTAATAGATTTAGTACTGTATAAATTTCTTGATAGTCTGTGGTAAAATGAATAGAAATGTGCAATAGTTATAATTTAAAACAAGTTTTCACTAAAGTATTCATAAAAGTATTTTGAGGATTAATGTTTTAAGTTGTATTAGCATAATTTTATTATTGCCTATTAAAATGTGGTGTCTTAAATGTGGAAAAATTAAAATGTGGAGTGGAAACCATTTTATCTAATGTAATAAATTTCGGAGTTTTAAGTACTTAACCCATATATGGCCTATTTTGGAAAGCATAATTTTTATTTACACGGGTGATATTAGTTGCTCTTTTTACATTATACAGTGGTAGTTTATTTTTTACAGAAACTATTCATGTATTTCTTAGTGTAACATAAGTGGAAAAGGAAAAGTAGTGTTTGAACTTAAAAACTTCAACCAACACTATCCAGCAGTTTCTTTGATATTTAACCATTTTAAAAGCTTTAAATCTGTTAAACATTGAAAATATGTCTGATTCACACTTTTTAATAAACTATAATGTTGGAATGTACATATTTTAATTCTTATTTATTCACCATTGTAAAATTGCAATAACTTTAAAAATTAATTTCATTTTGCATTTTTTTTGCATGCAGAAACATATCATTAGCAGGTAATAGATCAAATGATTACAATATCTCATTTTAGATTTTGTGATCCCATTGGTCTCTGTCTGATTTCCTTTCTTTAATTCATACATACTATTGATTATTCAAGCATGCCATATTTTAGAATTTTTAATTAAAAGATCTCAAAGTTTAATTTAAAACTTTCAAGATATGATAATGTGCAATCAAACTTTAATATTGAGATTGTTTCATACTTCAAAAATTCTGAATTTGCATTTACTATGCAAATACTAGAAAAATTTCTATGAGCTGAATACATTTCTTGGTGACCTTTGTATTTAAAAATTTTTTTATTCATCCAAATTGTTTTTTCCCTCTTAATTTCTGAAAAATTGTTTTCTTGAACTTCCAATTTTAAACACTTTTCTTGAATATTTTTATAAACCCTTTCTTGAAGGAAATGAGAGGTTGTACCTGTCAAATTGTAAATAATTTGCCTCAATCATCCATTCCTTACTAAGTAGATTTATAAGATATGTGTGCACAAATAAGAATAACTACCCATAAAATTTGAAGGAACATGCTAATTAAATGAATTCAATATAAATTGATAGTTATTACTTCCTAGTTTTGCAGTGTGTGCTAATTGAAAGGAATCAGAAATATTAAAAGATGTCATGTTGAAATATGAATGAAAATCAATAATGAAATAATATGTATAGAGGTAAATGTATTTGAAGACAATGATAAAACAGAATTTTGGCAAAACATAAAAACAAATGAATAATCAAAATGTATTAACTTTGTTCGAAGAAACTGTTTTTTGAATCAAATACATGCTATACAACTTTAAAAATTTCAGTACAGGTTTAAGTTTGACTAAATTTAAAAAAATTTTTGATTGAAGTACTCAATTTTGATATCCTGAGCAATATCACAAAATTTTTAGTGTCTCCTTTGAAGTTTGTAATTTTGGGTTTTGACTGTATTTGAAGTATTGATCGCATTTTCAATATTAATAAACATAAATCAAATTGTGATAGTTAAATTATGATATTGTTTAAGAGTTATAACTTTCATTGCCTGAACTCTGTTATTATGAATTCTTTCTTTATAAGATTGAGGAAATATATAATTTGTTAGTTCTTTTAGTTTAGTATAGTTAGTTCTAATCACAAGTCAGTTATATCAAAGAAAATATGTTTGCATTAATTTTCTTTATTGTTTATTATATGTTGCCATTCTCATTCAGTGTTACAATATAAAATTGTCGAATAAATTTATGTTGAGTTGTACCTAGAAAATACACATTTTTATTTAAACTGAAACAAAAGAAATAATGTCTCAAATCTTTTAACCTTATANGAATCCGAGTCATATATATATATATATAAAGAGTGGGAAGGAAAAGAAAAAGATCACAAAAGTTCGCTTCTTTTATTGAAAAAATATCAAATGCCTTTCTGTGCTGGATAAGGCTAATATTTGTTGTTTTTTATTTATTTAACTATTATGTAAATTTATGTTACCTCATTTTTGAGTTGTCAATTCTTTTAAATTTTACTATTTCTGAAGTTAAAGTAGCTTTACATATGAATGGTAAAAAAATTCACTTCTAGCTTGTCCAATTGATGTACCTTTCTTTTCAGAAACAATTCTTAAAGAAACTTTTTTAATTAACATAGTTGTCAAAAGTATACAAGCCATAGTTTCCCCCACTTGGAATTGAAATCGATTTATAAGAATGTGCTCATTTTAACAGTTGCACACTTTTTATACTATACAAAAGTTTGCATGTATAAAATTGGCATGATTGTATATTATTTTTGGTACGCATTTTGATGTATTTATGAGATAAAATATATGTTATTTTTTTAATTTTAATTGTGGTTTTTCTGTTTCTGAATATCCTCTGCTTTAAGATCTGTATTTATGAGCATAGAAACTTTTTCTTTTCTTCGCCAGCCATTTACTTTGGTCAAAGATTTCTATTAATATGTTAATAAATTAATATTAAAAACTTCCATTCTCTTGGATTCTTTATCTTGTAAATTATTGCTGATTATAATGTTTTGTACTTTGGTAAAATTTTTGAAGAGCTTATTTCATTTCTTAGAATTGTGTTTCATCTGGAATATACTGACTGGCTATTGTGTGATTTGCTGTTTTTATTTTGTTGTGTCTTTTTGGGAGCTTAAGCGATCAAGTTAACATTATGTTCTCATAATAGTTATATATTTTATCAGAATTTCAAATATAGACATTAATTATTGCTGATTTTTTCTTTTCTTTTGTAATGC